TTACAATTTGTTTTCAAACATTAGAACAATCAAAAATAAACAATTAGACACTTAAAAGTTATATTTTTAATTATGGTGCACAATCAATCTTATGTTCATCATTGGAGGATACCTAACTGGTAGATCTGGACGCAGCTTCCGAATCGTGTGTGCCGATTCTCAACATGTGTAAAAACATATAATTATTATATGATCTTGAAAAATAGTAAAAAAAAATACAGGAAGCATGTTTCCATTAGCAGGATACTAACCGAGAAAGAAGAAATGAATAGGAGATAACCATCATAGCATATTTTAGCTTAAATAATAGTTACAGTCGGCAAAAGCCTCACATAGTTTGGACATCTTTCAGTTTATTGCTCTGAGAAAGGAAGGAAAAAGTGACCTTTTCATCTTTTTTTTCATAATTCAGAGTTAATAACAGATCTATTGATATCTTATTTCAGGTCAGTACAGCATGGGGCATAGGTCTCATTATTGGTCCAGCTGTTGGAGGTTTGCTTGCACAGGTAATGAAGTTTTAGGGCCCTACTAAAGCAAATTATGCTAATATGTTTCATATGCCATTTAAGAATCTCAAACATGGACAAAATAGGGAAATGACACTTAAGATGCAAATTCTAAAATAGCAGGTCCTTACCTATGAAAAAATATACACAAAGAATGTTTTGCCGCCAGGTATCTTACATTGACACAGCTTAACGTAGATTTGTTTGTTCTGCATGTAGAAAGAGATAATTGAGAGAGCAAAAACCCTAACTTAATTGATTTATTCAGATACTAGAGAGATATATATAGTCATACAAATAGGGGTATGGTTAACGGGTCACAGCCCATTAACCCAATACCCAATAGACTTAATCTAACACTCCCCCTCAAGCTGGAGCATAAATATCCACCATGCCCAGCTTGTCACATATAGTAGAAAACACCTTTGAAGAAGTAGCCTTGGTTAGAATATCAGCAAGTTGTTGTGAGGACGGAGTGAATGTGAGAGATACTATCTTCTTCTCCCAAGCATCTCTGACAAAATTACAGTCAACTTCAATATGTTTTGTCCTCTCATGAAACACAGGATTCTGTGCAATATAAATGACAGACTGGTTGTCACAATGCATTGGCATGGGTCCAGACTGAACAAAATCAAGCTCTGTCATAAACTTTCTTAGCTACACCATCTCACAAGCAGTGTGAGCCATTGCTCTATATTCGGCCTCTGCACTAGATCGTGATACTACATCTTGTTTCTTATTTTTCCAAGTCACAAGATTACCTCCAACAAAAGTACAAAATCCTGAGGTTGACTTTCGGTCTCCCATGTCTCCTGCGTAGCCAGCATCAGAAAAAGCCGAAATGTGAGTATGCCCATGCTTCTTATATAACAATCCCTTGTCAGGACAACTTTCGACATATGCCAAAATCTTCAGAGCTGCTGTCCAATGAACCTCTCTAGGTTTGTGCATAAACTTGCTCAGTACACCTACTTCATAAGTAATATCAGGTCTGGTAACTGTCAAATATATTAGCTTCCCAATTAGTCTCCTATATCGTGCAGCATCATCTAGTAGAGAGGTATCATCACGCCACAAATCAACATTTGCCTCCATTGGAGTGCTTGTAGGTTTGCATTCCAAGAGACCTGCTTCTTCTAGTAAATCTAGCACATACTTCCTTTGAGACAACAACAGACCATGTTTTTTATATGCAACTTCAATCCCAAGAAAATACTTTGGCTTTCCCATGTCCTTAGTGACAAAATGACGGTTTAGATACTCCTTAGTCTCAGCTAAGGCAACAGAGTCACTCCCAGTCAGCAGAATATCAACATATACGGCTAAAATAACCAAACCAGTTGTTATGCGTTGAAGAAAGACAGACTGATCAGACTGACAACGTTGAAAACCAACATTAGAAATAACCTTGCTGAACTTATCAAACCAAGCTTGAGGACTCTGCTTTAACCCATAGATGACCTTTCTCACCTGCAGATAAGATTCTCCCCCTGAGCAACATACCCAGGAGGTTGCTCTATATAAACCTCCTCGTCCAAATCACCATAAAGGAAAGCATTCTTCACATCTAGTTGGTGCATCGCCCAATCCATATTAACAGCCAGAGAGAAAAGAATTCTGATGGAGTTGAGACGAGCAACGGGAGAAAAGGTTTCAAAATAGTCAATACCATATGTCTGGGTATATCCTTTAGCAACCAGGCGAGCTTTATATCTATCAACAGACCCATCAGGACGATATTTCAAGGTATACACCCATCTGCAGCCAACCACAGTCGCTCCAGCAGGTAGAAAGACCAAATCCTAAGTCCCTCTAAAAAGCAGTGCATTCATCTCCTCATCCATAGCCTGTTTCCAGGCGGGTACTAACAAAGCTTCCTCATGTGACCTGGGTAAAGATATAGTGGACAATGATAAAGCAAACTGACGAAATGATGAGGTGAGACGGTCATAAGAGACAAAAAGAGAGATAGGATATTTTGGGCAAGACCGTTTACCTTTACGAAGAGCAATAGGAACATCTAAGTCAGAAGAGATATGAGGCTCAACATGAGATGGACCTGCAGCTGGAGAAGAAGAGTCAGCAGGAGCAGAGACAGGTGTATGTACTTTAGGACGGCGAGAGTATGTCAGTAGAGGCTTTGGTGCAGTAGCCTCAGGAGCAGATACCGGAATAGTAGTGGGAGCCGTAGAAGGTAGTGGCACCTGTGGACTGACAGAGGTAGTGGAACCAGAGGAAAAATATGGGACAAACTCAAAAAAGATAACATCAGCAGAAACAAAATATCTCCTGATGGTCGGATGATAGCACCTATACCCTTTTTGAGTACGTGAGTATCTAACAAACACACACTTAATGGACCTAGGAGACAATTTATCCAAACCAGCAGTCAAATCCTGAACAAAATACGTACAACCAAAAAATCGAGGAATCACAGAAAAACGTTTTTTAGCAGGATAAAGATAGTGGAATGGTATCAAACCATCAAGAACAGAGGAAGGCATGCGATTAATCAAATGACAGGCAGTGAGGACAGCATCCGACCACAAGTACTTTGGAATATTCATATGTATCATCAGTGTTCTAGCAACATCGAGAATATGTCTATGCTTCCTCTTAGCAACTTCATTTTGTTGTGAAGTGTGAGAGCATGAAGTTTGATGAATAATACCATTACGAGCACAAAATTTTGAAACGTTATTTTTCATATATTCCAAAACATTATCAGTACGAAGAATATGAACAGAAGTAGAGAACTGGGTTTTTATTTCATTATAAAAAGGTTCAATAACATGCGAGACTTCAGACCTCTCTTTCAACAAATATAGCCAAGTCATGCGAGAGAAATCATCAACAAAAACAATGAAATATCGAAAACCCTTCACAGAGGGAACACGACAAGGACCCAGACATCAGAATGAACTAACTCAAACGCAAAACTATTGCGTTTATCGTCACGACTCTGAAAAAAAGTACGATGGTGCTTACCCAGTTCACATGACTCACAACCTAAAAAAGAAAGGGAAGACTGAACAGTAACTACCGATCTAAGTTTCTGTAGTGAAGGATGACCCAGACGTCAGTGCCACAGTAAGGTAGAAGCAGGCTGTGTTGCAACAAGACCAGGACCCGACACACTGTCGTCCAAATAGTACATACCTCCTTTCTCATACCCCGAACCAATCGTCATCCCAGTTGCTAGGTCCTGAAAAACACAATAAGAAGGAAAGAATGTCAGTTGCTAGGTCCTGAAAAACACAATAAGAAGGAAAGAATGTGACTTTACAGTTATTGTGCTTTGTAAACTTGCTAATGGATAATAAGCTAACAGGGAATTTAGGAGCATATAACACATCAGTGAGTTTCAAAAAGGAAGTAGCATGAACTACTCCAGCACCAAGAACTGGAGAAAGTGTACCATCAGCGATGCGAATAGAGGGAAACTTATCAGAAAGATATAAAGAGACAAAAGATCCTTTATACTTGTCATATGGGATGAGGCTCCAGAATCTAGTACCCATGGTTCATGAAGAGAAGTTATGTAAGCATCCATACCTGAAGAGGATGCATGAGTAGCCGAATGATTGTTCTGAGAGATCTCTAGCTGGCGTAACCTCTCATAATCTGCCTGAGAAATCTGAACAAATCTGAACAGTAGGAACAGTAGTAGTTGGATTACTAGAAATAGTAGTAAAAATAGGTGAGCGAGTCGACTCGGCATCGGTTACTTGGACCCATTGAGGACGACCAAACTTCTCCCAGCACTTCTCAGAAATATGATTGGTCCTCCCACAGTGATCACACTGACGTGAACCCCTATCAGAATCACCTTGTCTCCCACTAAAAGAGTCACGTCCTCCCAAAGAATCACGACCACGATCACGACCGCGGCCTCTGCCTCTACTAGAGAACATGGTAGACCGATCCACTGAAGGTGGAGACGGTGCAGAGGTATCAGAAGAAACGCCAGTAGAGACCTGCATGACTCTGGAGAATGTAGCAGTCAGTGAGGGGATGATATCACCATCCAATATCTGTCCTCTCACCTGGGACTGTAAGTTAGGGTGCAATCCAAAGAGAAACTTGGACACTGCCAAGTCACGACGATATCCTAACAACGTCGCCGCATCAGCTACTGCCAGTGTTTTTAAGGGCGATTTGGGGCGCGCGCCTCGGGCACGAGGCGCTTCGGCGCAATAGCATAGCGCCCCGCATCAAGTGCGGGGCGCTACGCTTGCGTCGGGCGCACGTCTGGGGAGCGCCCCGCAGCGCCTGACGCCAAGCGCAGGGCGATCGCCCCATTTCCAGAACCGCAATCAATTGGGTTCGGGTACAAACCCGCTTCCCAAAAGTAAATCCGAAATCAAAAAGGGGAAAACAAAAACAGAGAGAACTAAATCGAGCTCTAGGGTTCTGAGATCCACTTACCACTCCTCCGATCTTTGTCTGCATCCACGAAGACGGGCGGCCACGAAGACGAAGATCGGCAGCGCAAGGTTAGTATTTCGTTTTTTAGTTTTTTCTATTTCCAGCTTTCTTTTTTTTTCTCCTCCTTTGTTTCCAGCTTTTGTTTTTTTTCTTTGTTTTTTCAGTCGATCCACTTGTTCTTTTGATTTTTCTTTGCTTTTTGTTCCCGTCTTCGTTTGCCTGTATGTAAATTAAGTGGGATCCGGTCATTTTTTTTTCTTTTTACTGTAGCTTTTTGTTTTCTCTTTGCTTTTTGCTCCCATCTTCGTTTTCCTGTAGGTAAATTAAGTGGGATCCGGTCATTTTTTTTCTTTTTACTGTAGCTATTGTATCAATAAAAAATACTTGTAGTTAATATTAATAGTAAAAAAATAATTCATCCTCAACGCCAAGCTAGGGCCCTGCTTGTTTTTTCTTTGTTTTTACTGTAGCATAATATTTTTAACAATGTTAATTTGTTATATGAATCACTGTAACTATTTTACTGTAGTTAATTTAACAGTAAAAAGTTAACTATATTAGCTGATGTTTGATCATAAGGCTAATGATTAGTTGATGTTTGATCACTTGATTAATAATAGACTAATGATTAATAAGGAGAGATTTATCTTATTTTAAATAGTACTAGTTGACTTGAAACTTGAAACTTGATTCACCATTTGTAACCTGTAAAGAGAAAAATAAAATTTAGCAATATAGTTGTTAGTGATGCAATATATTATTTGGAGTGCGCCTCGCTTCGCTCGGGCGCGCGCATCGCATTGCGCCTTGCGCATGTACACGTAAACTGACTTTGCGCCCCGCGTTACGCCTCGCGCATTGAAAACACTGGCTACTGCAGGCTGATGCATCTCCAGTTCGTCTATCAGTCCCTTTAACTCACCAAAGAACTCCGGAACTGATCTATCTCCCTGTTTGAACGTAAACAGTCGCTCATAAATCTTAAATACACGGGAAACATTCTTCTTATTTCCGTACATAATCTTTAGGCTATCCCACATCTCCTTCGCAGTGGTTAAGAACATAACACTGCTACTAATCTGTGATTCCGTGCTGTTGAGGAGCCACGTCATAACACAATAATCAGACGAGAGCCAGGAACTGTAGGTGTGATCTGTGGTGGGTGGAGGAGAGACCAGAAGATGTGGAAGTTTGCTCTGAGCGCCAATGAAGATGCGGAAAGCCTGAGCCCAGAGCAGATAGTTTGTACCATTCAATTTTATTGTAGTCCCCAAGACTACCTTGGGCGCAAAAGTCTGACCAGCAGCAGCAGAAGGAGATGTAGAAGAGGAGGAGAGATCTGTTTCCGATATTGTTGCACAATAGTGGTAGGCAGGTAGTAGTCAAATAATCAGGGCAGTGTAGAGATCTGTTCTTTAAACATAGACTAAGAGCAGAGAAAAAAATTGGCAGTAGTAGATGACCGGATCAGGTCATGTGTGGCCTCGAATCACCTATTCAAGGCCATGGAAAAGGAAGGGACAAAACAAGCGGCGTGGTACTGTAGCGGCGCGGCACTGTAGCAGCGCGGTACTGTAGCGGCACGGCTAGTGGTGGCTGTAGAAAAAGATAATTGAGAGAGCAAAAACCCTAACTTAATTGATTTATTCAGATACTAGAGATATATATATATATAGTCATACAAATAGGGGTATGGTTAACGGGTCACAGCCCATTAACCGAATACCCAATAGACTTCTAACACTGCATATGCTGCTATTCTAAAAAATTTGAGCACCCTGACCTGATGTTTCTTGGATGCTACTATGGCTTTATGCCAAACTTGGAATAAAGATATCATGTAAATTTTTATCATTATACATATTATGTAAAGTTAACTATACATATGTAAATACATACATAAATATAAATAAGTATTTATGTATGTAGCTTTATGCATGAGTTAGTATTTACGCACATGCTATATCCAGAGAACTAAAATGATTTCTTCCTTCAAAGACTTGAGTACGTATAAGGATGTAAAGTATACCTTGAACTTAACCAAAGCTAAATGCAAAAGATGAAAAGGAATTTCTGATCTTGCTGCTTCCTTCTCTTTGGGTACTTGTTGGCTGAGCACTTAGGGTCTGATGTAACACTTTTGCTGTACCATTCGTGTTTTAAATGTTATTGCTATGGACAAGGATGATACTTTAAAGATAAAGCCTCCGAAATTTATGTAACATGATGAGAGAGCTAGAATAAAAAATAAACACTTTGTAGATTCCATTAATTCATATGAGTGGCGGAATTAGCAAACAAATATAGACAAGTGCACATGCTAATTTATAAATTCTTTTTAGAATTATTAGTTATGAAAATCCATGAAGAAGACATATTTTCAATTTTTTTTTATTGTCGAAATTATTTTTGCATTATCAGCCTATTCTTTGTGATTAACATGTGTTTTATCAGCCTGCAGAGAAATTTCCCGGTGTTGTTTCTGAAGATTCCTTTCTCGGAAGGTACGAGTGGTGCACTACTTACTTCAATTTGGTTGCTTTATTATTGTTCTCATACTTGCAAACCTTCAAATGTTTGTAGGTTTCCTTACTTCTTGCCGTGTTTCTGTATATCCTTTGTTGCTGTCGGAGTTCTTATTGTCTGTTATTGGCTTCCAGTGAGTAACGATCTCCATTCTACTCTTCTCTTTTTTTTTCCTCCTTTCTGTAGCTTTCCATTACCTAGGTAATTAAAATCCTTGTAGAGAATTCTTGTTTCCCAATAATATAAAAGATTATAAAGAGCTGCTAAAAAAAATTATACCATTTAAAATAAAAATTTATGCTTTAAGTGATCCAAGGTCAATTTCTTAGTAGTTATATTTTTGCATTGACATGAATTTAATAATCTTTTTGGAAAACAAAACTTAGTATTTTATATTTATCTCTTATTATGATTTTATATTTTAATCTCTTGTATCATATAACGTGGTGAAGAAAGAAAAGAAAGGAAAAAAATTCTATCATTGAAAATTACGAATTTACCCTTCTAATTACATAGGAATTCCACCACTCATCCAAACTTTTACTACCACCACTATGTTCATTATAGATTGGTATATCTAGATACGTTCCAAGTCCCTGTGTAGAGTTTTTTCATGCTTATACTCCCAAAAAAAGATCAGTGACATTCATTCAATACTTCATCGGGGATACTAGGAATCTAGATTACTTTGAACTTTATGTTTTCTTCTTGATTTTTCAGTTTCTTTTTAATCATCAAAAATGCATGTAGCATAAAAATTGAAGTTCTTGTACACCATTGGGGTATTTCACTCCAACTGGAGCCTTTCACTTTATCTCACAAATCAGTCCTATGAAAGATGTTTGATGTTTCTTTTTCTTATTATTGTTTCTGACAGTGCTTAATTTTATCAACACAAATAGATATACTAGGATTACTTGTCTTATGTTTCTTTTAACCCTATGTTACAATTTGGTTTTTTGGGTGACTACCTGGAAATAACTGGTCAGCGAATTTGAAATTTTTTGCCCCTTTAATTATGGTTTCAATATAATCATGGTTATGTAGGAAACATTGCACAATCATCCTGAGAGCAAAACAACAGATGGTACAAGCGAATCTGTGGAGGCATCTCCTCATCCCTCTGATGTGAGAGATAAGGATGTCGAAATTGAAGGAGGGGTTCAGCCTAGTAAAGAAAATCTACTTACAAGTTGGCCATTAATGTCATCTATCATTGTATATAGTGTTTTTTCGCTTCATGATATGGCCTACACCGAGGTAAACTTTGATTTTTGCTATGCCTTCCTGAATGTTCGATGCACTAATAGTATGTATTTGTTTGAAGTTTAACATGCTTTAGTAGTAGTCTTGATTGAAATTATAATCCCACTTGAGCTTTAAATACATATCCAATATGAAGAAGTTCGAGAGATGGTCTTCATCCCATTTGAGCAATTTTCACTATCTCAACCACAGATATCATCACTTTCTGTTTTGAGGGTGTAGACCAAAATCATCAGAGCTAATTAACTGAAAATCTAATGGACACATTAATATTTTGGGTTATCCCCATATCAGAGTATTGAGTTCCCAATTTCAGGGCAAAATGACTTTTATCTTCCATTGTATGGTTAAAATGATATTGCAAAAGAATATTCGTTAAGGCTTGTGGGGAATAATGGCATTAAGTACTTGGTTAATGTTATGGCTATATTTGGAAATTTAACATCATGATTCTGGCAGAAACAATGGAATGTGTTTGCATCCAATAATAAGCTTGTATCCGGTTCTAATCCCTCGTTGGTTCAATTTTTCCACTCAACGTTTTACTTGTCCTTATGTTCTTCTATCAATCTATTATTAGTTTCTAGTTAATACTAACCAAATCTAAATTTCAGATATTCTCGCTATGGGCTGAGAGCGACAGAAAATTTGGAGGGTTAAGTTTTTCATCCGAGGATGTTGGCATGGTTCTAGCAATCTCAGGTACGCAAAGTAATGGTTTTCGCATATATACTGCTAAATCTTCCAATATTTGCTTTTACCCTCCAAACCTTGATGTTTGCAAAATTAACCCCCAATTCTCTCACATTGAGTTTTTCTGTCCCTCCAACTTAAAAATATTGGTTTATATATAGGGCAATGTCAAAATTTTGCAATAATTTTTAATAGGTTTGCAATATTTTCCGTTTAAAAACTAAAATCGTCAAGTGAAAGGAGTAGAAAAACTTAATGTGAGAGAATTAGAGGGTAAGTTTGCAAATACCAAGATTTGAGGGGTAAATTTGCAAGCATAGAATATTTGAGGGGTATATATGTAAAAACCCCAAATCATAACCCATCTTTGGTTAAATGACATTTTCAAATTATCCAACTCAGTCTGCAACATTAGAGGATTATGGTTTTAGTCTCTAAGACAACTAAGGACATTATATATGGAATCTTCTATTTAGTTTTTTGGAATATTTTTTATGATACTATTGCTCATTGGCCTTCAGGCATTGTTCAATGGAAATTGGTTTCTTTTTTTTTTCCTTTTTTCTTTTAATGGTTGAATAAAGATTAGTGAATTTGGATTTCCAGATATGTTGCAGTAAAGTGTGTAGGTTCAATTAAGGTTTACGCAGTACCTAGTTAAATTCACCCCAATACTTTTTATATAAGACTGAGATTAGACCTTCCCATCAGTTCCTTGGTTTATGGTGTAACATATCTTATATAAGTCTAATTGATCAGCATATATCTTAATTTGACAGTTAATTACTGATTTGTAGGTGTCGGTCTTATAGTATTTCAATTGTTTCTCTATCCACCAGCAGAAAGACTCCTCGGGCCCATAAATTTATCTCGTATTGCTGCGGTATATATTCGCTTTTCACCTTTATTCAGCTTTGATGATTTGTTCAACGTTTGTGCTCCTTACCGTCATATCTCATGCTTCTTATTTGCAGGCTATAGCTATACCATTACTTGCCAGTTATCCCTTTATGACTAAGCTATCAGGACTGGCACTTTCAGTAGTGGTGAATTCTGCATCCTTGTTAAAGAATGCTCTCTCTGTGAGTACAAATCTGAAAAAAGTTTTCTTTGATCTTTGTGAAGGTTATCGAGCGGATTAATTTTTACATAATGTACATGTCAGTATTTATGGCCAGTTATGCCTTTGACGTGTGAACACCATCATGTCTAACTTCTGTAAAGAGCAAGAATCCTTATGGATGCAGACGAATAAGATGCTAAAGAGATACTTAACTATCACACAATAGTGTGTTGAATGACGAAACAGAGCGATCTAATTGAAGAGTTTCATTTTGAAAAGCCAAATTTTGTGGAGGTCCTCTAATTAGAGAAGTGTAAATATTATATACTGATTTGAAGGTTATGCTCAATGGTGTTAAAAATGAAGCTAATCTTTTAATGTCTGGTCCAAGAAATGATAGCCCAGAAGTTCTATTATACATAATAAACTTTCAGTCTTCTGACTTCACTAGCACAAAAGATATAGAGCTCTCTCATTTAATTTTTTTTTTTACAGAAAGATACCTTTGGAAGTATATTTTATTTTTCTATAGCTGCAAATAGACGTGAATTTAACATGAAATGAGACCTGTAAAAGGTTGATATATTAGGAAAGAGGTTCTTTGGCCTGCTTCTCGAAACTTGTCAAACAAACAATTTTGAAATATTAAGATGTAATATCTTGATTATATAAGTGGTAAAGGTTCAAATGGTTACTCTGGTTCTGTATTATAGGCACCCAAATCTTGTGGAAGATGATTAATAGTTCGGATCTACAATTTACAGACTAAAGTAATACATCTCACATTCATAATTGAGGTAAAGCAGTCCTACAAGATATATGCACAGGTCAATGTAATGTATAATTTATGTATACTTGTTTCACCTGAAATGCATGCTCCACAATTACACTGGTTAGATACATAATAAAAATCTTCATCATTAAAAAATTCAAGCTGCATATGTTTTTCATAATTATTTAGCCGAAATCTAACTTATTTGTTTGATTTCAAGATTGTTGTAATTTCTGAAAGTGCAGATTCCATTTGGTGTTAATATTTTTTTGAACCTTAAACCAATGTATGTTTATTTTTGATGTGGATATTTATGTCGCCATAAATAATTCTTTTGGAAATTCTGATGATTCAAGCTGGCTCTGTCCTTGTCTAACGCCCACACTCTTTTCCTACCAGATGATTATCATTACGGGAACATTCATTTTGCAAAACAATGCAGTGGTAATTTTATTTTCATATCAGCTTATATGTTAGCTAATTTTCTAATTTGCAATGATGACTTCAACTACATGGCATAAAAATTATTCACTGATAATCTTTGTTACTAACAACAGCCTCAACACCAAAGAGGAGCTGCAAATGGAATTTCAATGACTGGGATGTCTATTTGCAAAGCTATTGCTCCAGCAGCTGCTGGTGTAATGTAAGTATGACATTTTTTTAGTGTAAGTTTAAGAGGAACGGTGATGCATATTTTGAACTTAGGTACTCTTCTGTAATTTCCACTGATATTAATTTATGCTACTAATGAACTAACTTTCATATTTACTTTGTAGAAACAAATTTATTCAAATTTTAAATATGGTTAGCACTGTTGACACAAACTCCGCATTGAAAGTTTTAACTTTCTAATATTCATAGTACTTAGTAAGTAGAAGTGACATAGGTAGAGACATAAATATACATAAAGGAATAGAGATATAATAAATACATGTCTTGTATTGTTTATCTTCCCACGGGGAGACATTCACATATATAATTTCATATTTATCTTCCATATTAATTACGACTCATTTTTAAAATGTGTTGAAGAGGTGCAAAAAAATGAAAAAAATGAAAATATACTTGTAAATCTTGTAGCATGTCTAAATTGTAGAATACTTTTCAGATATTGAAATGGCTTCATGATAGAATTGTTCAAGCCACATAGTGAAGAAATTACAGAAACTCAGAAGAATCAGGCAAACCAGGCGGCGGTCGACCGGTCCGGTCGACCGCATTCGTGCACAAAGCTTACTGTGCGTCAGGAAGGTGGTCGGTCGACCGGTGCGGTCGACCGAGGGGTTCTCTGGAGTTTTGGGTTTTCTGCTGGGAGCTGGTCGGTCGACCGGACCGGTCGACCGGAATTGATCGCGGTCGACCGTGCCGGTCGACCGATCCCTTGATTTCTAGTAGTAAAATCTCCCCCCTCCTTGCCCCGTGGACGTAGGCAACTTGCCGAACCACGTAAATTGTGTGTTCTTGCTGTGATTGTGGTTTGCATATTGTTTGTGGTTTAGTTCGAGTTATTGTTCGTGTTGCCCTAGAAAGCTTCTGCCGCGCACAACACATAGTTGACTTAGCAACATCTTACATTTATGTGCTTATAGAAATTCTGTCAATATCCTGACTGACTTGGCAGTTCAGTATCTGTATAACAAATCCTCGAAGTTTACTTGGTTGGCATAGGGAAATGTTTGATGTCAAAATACTAACTACTTGTCGTCATCATAATTTCCAAACTTCAGATTTTAACATTGGGTACTTAGAATGTCGTTAATCAAAATAAAATTTGGTTTTTGATAATGTTAGCATCTTTTATACTAGTCATACTTTTCACATTCAGTTAGGCCAGACGCTATGGAGCTAGTGTGTAGTGACCAGTTCACTTTGCTCGTGTATTGGCATGTTTGTATGTGTCTCTGCATGCTTGTGCAAGAGATTGAAAGCTGAATATTTTGAGTTGATCTTTCTTTTTATAGTTATGCTGATTAAATCAGATTTTCTTTGACTTATTTTATTTAAATATTAAAAATTAATTACCATTAAAATTGCAGATTCTCATGGGCACAAAAGCGCCAAGATTCCACATTCTTACCAGGTATAATTTAAATCTCCTCTTAGTATTTTCTAGCATTATTGTATCTCAAATTCTGATGCTGCTATTTTGTGTATCGTCATCACTGAGTACTGTAATCTCAAAGATTCAAATACTGCTAGAATTATGTTAATCAATCAAACTTCCCGAGTTACAAAAAACAACTCGGAGGAAGTTTTTACACAATCATGCATGTATATTATATAGTTATATAGTTATGTTGCTTTCTTTTTTTGGTAGATATTTTGATATTTTCAATTTGTACACACCATACAATTTCTATAATGGCTTATTTATTGATGTTGCAGGTGATCAAATGGTTTTCTTCATATTGATCCTGATAGAGTTCATTGGCCTCATCATGACCTTCAAACCCTTTCTAGCAACCAATGTTTGACGTGTTGAGGGATATATTAGATTAGGAATAATATATTAGGAATATATGATTGAGAGATATTCGGGATGTGATTTAATAAGATTTTATATCATACCTATTTTGTAATATCCTCCTAGCTGTTCGCGGGAAAAATCGTTGCTTTCTTCATTGATTCCATTGCTATCTTGAATAACAATTTTTCGGTTACAAAAGATCCGGTCTTTTTTTAGATCCGGTTACAATGAAAATCAAAAATAAAGAAAATTAAAAAAAATTACAACTTTTTCTCTTTTGTCGAACAAATCGCGAGCTCCTGTTTTGCGGTCGCTCGCTTTGGTGGGTTGTTTGCCTGCGCCGGGGTTGTTTGCCGTGGACCACCGCGCGATCTAGATCCGAGCAGATCTACGCAGTATAACGGGTATTATTTCACCAAGGAAATAATAGCCGGAGGGATTATTTCACCAAGGAAACAATCGCTCGAATCTCGGGATCAAAGACCAAGCTTTGATCCGGAGTGTAACAACGTAGATCTGAGATCTCGATCCCCTCGAACTCCTACCTTTTGTGATGCGGGTGCTCGCCAAGAATCAGATCTGAATGTCCAAGTCTTCAAGCCTTCAAAAAACTCCAAGATGAGGTCTCAATCCGGCAGAGTTTCGGCTCTCCAAAAGTTCTTCCAAAAAGTCCCCTCAAATGATGAATGACCCCGCCTATTTATAGGCAACCAGATCTGTGCATTTGGCACAGATCTGGGCGGCCACCTCAGGGTGGCTCGGCTCATGCCGAGCCACCCTGAGGTGGCTCGGCTCATGCCGAGCCACCCTGAGGTGGCTCGGCTGTTTCGGTTCTTGTATCCGCTTCGTCCGTGATTCGGTTATGTGGTTGATTGGTCTGAAATCGATTCGTTGACTTGATTCCTGATTTGGAAGTCTGGATCCCGATTAGGCAGTAAATCGGCTTTGGTGTCTGAGTTCGAATCCGTTATATGGTTGGATGACTCGTTGACTCTCTGGACCGTTGATTTGATTCCGCACGCGAGTGGATTTATTCCGTCGTTCACGTGCGGTTCGTCAGCTTCGTAGCCTTGTTAATCCGCTTCGTTGCGTGTCACTTGGCTTCGGTGTTGTGGACTGACGTTCGTGCTTAGATACGTCGCCTGATGGTTCATTAGTTCGTGTTGAACCGTGTCAATGGACCTATAAGCAATTTTATATGCCTACAGATACCCCCTCCAAAGTTTTCCAGTCTCGTTCTTTTATAGAGGAGTCTGGAATACTTTGGATATGACTGTCCCAACCTTCAATCGGTGTAACGGGCTCTTGGAATGGCTTCTATTCTCGATTCCTTCAATCCTCCAGGCTATTCGGTGCTTTGTCGAATGCTTGAGAGGGTTCCGGTGCTGCATTTATTGTCTGACCGTTGTTGGAATTTTGAATTTGAAGTCGATTCTTGATTTCTTGGCTTTTTTAGCTCGAGCTGGTTGTTTCAACACGGAATTGACCATTGGTTGACGGCCTTGAATCTCCATTGTGACGCGTTGTCCGCCGTTTAACATAGTTTATACTCGTAAGTCTTTTGGAGTCTACGCAGTTTAAGCTCTTAAGGAGTTGGAGCGGGGAGGTCTAGTTTATACTCATACACTCCTGGGAGTTATGTTAAGTTATCCTCTTCAACATGGAATTAACCATCGGTTGACGGCTTCGAATCTTCATTGTGACGCGTTGTCCGGCGTTTAACACAGTTTATACTCATAAGTATTTTAGAGTCTACACAGTTTAAGCTCTTAAGGAGTTGGAGCGGGGAGGTCTAGTTTATACTCATACACTCCTGGGAGTTATGTTAAGTTATCCTTAAGAATATTTTTTAGAAAAATATTCTCCAGAAACTTCTCAACAAAGAGGAGGGAATAGTTTATACTCGTATACCTTATTGGAGTATTAAGAAACAGTTTATACTCGTATACTTTTCGGAGTATTAAGAAGCAGTTTATACTCGTATACTTTTCGGAGTATTAAGAAGCAGTTTATACTCGTATACTTTTCGGAGTATTAAGAAGCAGGAATAACCTGAACCGGCCCAAAAATGTGCCAAAAAAGGCAGTATTTGGGCTCAAAAATCTTTCCAACCCTTCCAAATATATGGGAGAAGGGTTACATAGGTGAAGGACTGAACCGTAGGTTGATCAAAAAGTCGTTTCAATGCTTAATTCAGCTCCAATTTGAATTCTGGTTCAAATTTGGTTCAAGCTGGTTCAATTTGGCTTAGACTGGCTCATTCTGGTTCAATCTGGCTCAATTTGGCTCAATCTGGCTCAATTTGGCTCATTCTGGCTCATTCTGGCTCATTCTGGTCCATTCTGGCTTGGTCTGGTTTAGCCCGGTCTGGTCTGGTTCAGCCAGATCTGGTTCAAGGCTATAAAAGGGTTTTTTTCTTTATTTTTTTTATTTTTTCTTCTTCTCTCTCTAGGGCCGCCCCCCCCCCCTTTGCCTCTTTGAATTTGCTTGATATTTGTCTTAGATCTGGCTTTCCTTTGAATCTTGGACTGAGAAATCTCCCAAAAACTCCAAACCAAAAGTTTCTTTCAGGCCCCTCGAGCGCGTGGTTCAAGTTTCCTTAAAGGTCTCGCCTTTATTGGATTTTGGGCTCTTCTTCAGGTAAATCCTCCGCAATCTTGATCTATTTCATGTTTGATCTAGTGTATGGAGTCGCGGGATCGCATATAAGGGTTGAGGGTGTGATTTGATGCCTCAAGCTCGCCTTTTTAGGGGTAGAATTGCGATAAAAAATGGGATTTTTCCTTTTCTAGATCTGATCCCTCAATTTACCTTGCAGGTCTCTATGTCCCGTATGGCGAGGGGTCAATCCTCTACCGCGCCGACTGATGGGGCGCCTCCCTCTTACGCTGGTGAGCTACTTTTTCTGGAAATTTACAAATTGGTCCATTTTTTCTTGGAAATTTGTAAATTGGTCCTTTTTCTTTTTTACTCCCCGTTGTTCTCCTTGGTGAGGCAACCGGGAAAAGCCTTGATTCTCCCTGGTGAGGATCGACGCTTCAAAGATATGTTTTGCTTGGTCAAAACACTATCTCATAATAAATAAAGGGGGCGTTTTGTCGCTGCGTTGTGCCTTATAAGGAAGGGATATATTATCGATATCCCCTATCTTACCGATGCACCTCTTGTGAAGGACGCCAGTTCTATTCAGCCTCTTCGGAAGAGTGATTTCTTATTTGGCGACTCTGTCGAAGACCCGGATGCCGTGTTTATTGAGGCTGAGCAGTGGCTTCATAAAACTGGCAGTGGCTTCATATATTTGCCGAAGATTCCTCGGCATCGTTCATTGACTGAGCTCAGGCGTCAGGCCGTGACACGGGAGATGTCGTGGCGCTTGACGGAGGAGCATGAGAGCGTCCATTGCGGCTACATCACTCATCAGGCGTTTCCTGGCTCGAGCAGAAGTCACATCACCGGATTGCGTCCCGGAGTACTGGGGCTGGATGCACCACCACGTAACGAGTTCCTCGCCACCGCTTCTACCTTGAGGAATCGCCTCGCTGCTCTAGGACGGGAGATGCCTGCGACGCGTCACAGGATTTATGGTTGGGTCCATTCTTTGGACAAGTTTTGGTGGACCCGTATGACGACGTATGTCTTGAGCCGATGGGGCGAGGAGTTGCACGCTTGTGGTTTATATGCAGCCGTTCGTGCCACCATGTATGGCTTGCCTGTCAGCGCAAGGCACTTCTGTTCTTTGTTCGAGCTTTATAATTCAGATTCGAACACTTTTCTGACCCGGCAAGGGGAGTTGGGTTTGTCTCTTCACGAGATGCACAGGATTTCTGGCTTACCCATGGGACAGATGTTGTATCAGGAATACTTTCCCTCCAACCATGAATTAAGTCCACTGAAGGATCGTATGCCTGATCGCTACGAGACTCTATGGGATCTCACTTGTCACTATCATATAGCTTTGGCGCAGTCTAAGCCTTTAGCAAAGAGGACTAAGACATTCGTGAGTCTGAAGCAGTTTGCCAATTATTTGTTCAAGAATCTGGAGAGTAATTCTGGCGAGGCTATTTGTGAGTTGGCTCCACTTACTCCCTCAGGGGTGAACAGTCTGCTGAAGAAGATTGGCACTCATTCTTATACCACTAGCAGTTCTGAGGGTGGCTTTCCTGGAGGGACCAAGTTCAAATCATTCATGTGGCATGCTACCGCACCGATTCGACCAATGACTCTTCTTGCCGGTTATCTCGCTATCTGGTTGAAGAAGTGCGTTGTTCCATATCAGTCTGGCGATGCCTTGCCCTTGGAAGTGCTCTATCCAGCAGTTCAGCTCGCCTACAAGAAAGAACTCTCACTTCTTCCGGTGATGGTGGCTAACGTTCATCGAGGACTTCGACAGTTTTCTGGTGCCTTTACACGGAAGGAAAGTGATTTGCCGGGTCAGATTCCCACCATTAAGACGGAGCTCCCGTACACTTACTTGATGGCTTGGTTCGTCCTTCACCGTTCCGATATGATGTCGGTACCGAGCGCCACAGATCATTCCGTTCCTTTACTGCAGTTACTTGAGAACGGCAAGTGGGAGGGGCGCGGATTTTCTAACATCAGATAGCAGCTGCAGGTCCACAAGTGTTGGACATTTTCCACTTGCTTTCCGTAGTTCTCCGGCCGATACGGCGATTGTTTGATAGATGAGGAGAGGCCGAGAGAGTATCGAACTCACTTGGACATTGGCTGCTTTAACTGGCTGGTGAACATTAGGCCAGGTTATCTGACTTTTCGGGTGAGGGATCAGTGCTTCATAGAGCCATATCTACCCTGTCGATTCGCTCGTCAGTTTGGCTACGATCAGCTTTACGTCGGGAATCCTCGTCAGCAGCTTCGGGCCCACGGCGGTTTGGTAGATGGTCTCCGTGCGTGGTTGTGGACCGTGACTGGCTGTACTGGTGCTAAATTCAGTCTCCCGAGTGCTGATCGGCAGTTGCACCTCACTTTCTTAAGCTGCAAGTGGTTGTTAGCAGCCAACAAGACTATCCCCGTGAAGCCGATTGCAGAGTTAGAGGCCGAGGAAGCTTCTCAGGTTGATTCCCGTAGGATTTGGGAAAACGCTCGATCACAGAGGACACGGAATAAGACTCGTCGGATTGATGAAGAGGGAAAGAAGACCTTTCATTCCGCAGACGAGGCTTCA